TGCCTGCCCAGGCCAAAGGCACCAGGCCGTCAAGGAGATAGCCTTCACGGTGCAAGGATTCAATTATGACGATATAGAGAAAGAGCATTTATAGCCAGTCCTCACTTACCTGGTGGTGAGGAAAGAGGAACTCAAACGACAAAATCCTTTACAAGAGTAGATAACCCCTAAACTAATTTCTGCACCACTGTAGAGTAGTTTATTGATTTTTAGAAAGAGGAAGGGAGAGGGAGGGAGAGAGAAACATTGATGTGCGAGTGTAACATCAATCGGCTGCCTCCTGCACACTCTCTACCATGGATTGAGCCTGATACTTGGGAATGTGCCCTGACTGGAAATTGAACCAACAACCTTTTGGTGCACAGGACGATGCCCAACCAACTGAGCCACACCAGCCAAGGTAAGGTAGATCTCATTTTAATTAAATCACCTTGTGTTAGAGCTATTTGTTATCTTCCCAATTAGACAATCAGGTTCTAGAGAGCAGAGACTGGGCCCTGCTGATCTAGGTTTACCACAGTTCCCAGCATAGAGGAATTATTTAACAAGTATTCATTGGGAGAATACTGTGGCCTCATCTTGGATGAATATGGGAATAAAGAAATCATTTTTTTCCTCATCCTCAAGTCTGTATTTTGAATCTAAACATTGAAGGACAAGAAAGCTGAGAGCACCAGGCATATTTTCTGAGATGGAAGAGGTCATGGATCTCAGCAGCTGCTCCCTGCAACACAGAATTTTCTTCAGCTTAGCCCAATAAACTAAATCCCTGGGTTCTCATGACAGCCCTTCAGACCCCACGGTTAGGACCGTCCCTGTGACGCCATTGCTGCTTTCCCAGAATTAGATAGTTACACCTCAGAGAACCGCCGTGCCTGCTAGAAGAGAAAGCGAGGTGGATACTCATGGGAGATGTTTTCATAAGCTAGAAAAAATTAAAGGAAATAAAATCACCTGACTACACGTCTCCCTTCTGGGATGGAGCCAACAGTAACAGTCTCTACCGCTTTCAAAAGCTACTGGAATTTAACATTCCAGGAAATCAGCCCTAGGGCCTGTCTCCTAGGGTTTAGTAAGCCATTTGTTATAGAATAAACAGATGAGGCTTTTCAACTGCAACAAGGAAACCAAGAGGTTAGTACAACCCTGAACTTGTCCTCTGACTGCTGCCTGGGAACCAGTAGCAGCAGAAGCCTAAGCCTGGGATTTGGGGGGGATGCTCTTCCTGTTGTCAAGGCTGAAGACATTAACAGGAAAAACAAGGGTGTCAGAATGAACCCTGCTAAGCTGATTCCCTTCCTCGGCTCTTTTATCTCCCACGCCGTTCCTTCCCCTCTTCCTGGACACACTTAACTGAGAGATGAGTTTTACTTTTTATCTAGCTACCAATTTTCTTTTCCAAACGCACCAGAATAATGAGCCTCTCAATCAGACAAGCTCTTCTTCTAGACTAGATAGATGACTTACTAGCTCATTAATTCATGCAAATATTTATTAAACACTATATGCTTAATTGTTCTGTATCAGCCACTAGGGATATAACAGACAAGACAGTCAAACAAGAAATAAAGTTGTGATAAAAACGATGAAGGAAGTAAACAGGGTGCTATGAGAGAGAATACGGGGGGTGGGAGGGATGAGGTTGGAGGATCAGGAGATGGGGACTACCCAACTCAAATAAGGGGACCAAAGACAGCCTGAGAGCAGGTGACCAAGGATGGCCTGAAGCTGGTCAGGCTGGGCAAAGAGAATCCCCAGGAGAGGAGAGGGAACAGCGAAATGAAGCCCCCGAATGAAGCCCCCGAGGGAGCACTGCACTGAGTCTGTTCCAGGAACTGGAGGAGGACCCTGGGTGGCTGAAGCAGGTTGAGCTAGGTCAGAGATGGCAGGCAGGCATCAGCTCATGCAGGGGTCTTGTAAAGTAGAGCTTGGCTTTTATTCTCCATGCAACCAGAAGCCATTGAAAGGTTTTGAGCAAGGGTTTTACATTTTTACAAGGATGTTCTAACTGCTGGGTGAGGATAGTATTGCAGGTGGGCAGAGTGGAAGTCTAGATGGGAGGAGATATGACCGGAGCCAAGATATATTTGTAGCTTGTGAATATTTGAACCTGTGAATGGATTTGGATATGGGGGATGAGGAAAATGGCGAGTTCTGCCCTGCAGGTGTGGCTCAGTGGTTGAGCGTCAACCTGTGAACCAGGAGGTCACAGTTTGATTCCTGGGTTGCGGGCTCAATTCCCAGTGGGGGACGTGCAGGAGGCGGCTGATCAGTGGATTCTCTCTCATCATTGATGTTTCTATCTATCTCTCCCTCTCCCTCCCTCTCTGAAATCAATCAATCAATCAATCAATCAATCAATAAATACAAGATGAGCTCTAAATCTCTGGCCTAAATGAATGACGGCAGTATTTAATGAGATAGAAAAGACCAGGGAGAAAATGGTTCTTGGAGGAAAACCTAGAGTTCAGTTTGAAATTTAAGTTTAATGTATAGATGTCACATAGACAATGTGAGACTGGAGTTCAGAGGTAAGGTTCTGCTAGCGATACAGATTTGGGAATTGTGAGCATGTACATGGTAAAGACCACAAGAACTTAGGGAGAAGAAAAAGTGAAGAGGATGAAGCCCTGGGCATGAAGCAGGTGATGAAATTGCCTTCTTCTGTGTGCTTTTATGGGATTTATTAGAGAAACAACAGCTTCCCCAGACACTGGTAGGTTTGCCACCCCCCCTAATTCTTTTTCTTCACTTTATTGCTTTAAAATACCCTCATTCCTCAATTATTTTAAAGCAAATGCTCTTGTATGGATTGACTCTATGCACTCTTTTGATTCGCCTTCATTTCCAGCACTTACTTTGTGAACTGCTCCATGAAACGGTCCCGGTGGCCTTGCAGGGTGTCAGCCGGGAGACCTGGGAGAAATTGTAAGAGTGAGAAGGATGAAGAGGACCAGCAGGCAGGTCAAGCCACAGGGAAACATCTCTCCTGGGGCTTGTGGCCAACCCTGCCAGTGGGCATTCCTGGCCTAGAGCTGCCCCAGGACGGGTATGCAAGGAGGCTCAATAGGACCAACAGGGAGTCTGGGTGCTTATCCTCCAAATCTTTCCTTCTGTTTGCGCCTAAAGTGCAAGCCATGCTGGACACAGTGGACTGGAAGCTGTGTCCCTGACCATGGAAGAAGCAAGTGGTGACTGTCCAAGCAGCAGAATGACCACAGCTGGCCCCAGAGAGAGGGGATGCGGGTTCTTCCCAGAGGTGTTTGCACTGGGTACCCTGGATGAGGGCCAGTGCAGACATTAGTCTGGAAGAAACCCATAGGCCTGCCTGAGAGGATGCCTGTCAGAAGGAAGACCATGGACTGAGACTCTGAAGATTAGGCCCAGTGCCCACTTGGTTCTGCTAACTCTGTGATGTGGGACAAGCTGCAGCCTCCTCCTGAGTGGGTTTTCTCTACGGTCCTTTCGCCTCACAGGATGTGTGATTTTGTGTATTTCAGTTATAGAGCACAACTCAGCCTTTTATTTTTTTTTTGTTTTATTTTTAAAATTTAAATCTTATTGACTAGGTCAGTGGTCGGCAAACTCATTAGTCAACAGAGCCAAATATCAACAGTACAACGATTGAAATTTCTTTTGAGAGCCAAATTTTTAAAACTCAAACTATATAGGTAGGTACATTGTTATGAACTTAATTAGGGTACTCCTAAGGCTTAGGAAGAGCCACACTCAAGGGGCCAAAGAGCCGCACGTGGCTCGCGAGCCGCAGTTTGCTGACCATGGGACTAGGTGATCTATTCATTTGGTATAAAGAGGTAGTACATGTATAAGGTCTGATAATCCAAAATGGAAGAAGTATAGAGTGGGTGGCAACGGCACTTCACCTTGGTGATCTGTCTCCCAGAACTCCAGTCCAGTCACGAGAAAAGTGTCGGACTCAAATCGAGGGACACGCTACAAGATATCTGACCAGGACTCCTCAAAACTGTCAGCGTCATCAAAAACAAGGAAAGTCTAAGAAACTGTCACAGCCGAGAGGGGACTAAGGAGCCGTGACTGAATGGGACCACGGGCAGAAAAATGACATTAGGTAAAAACTATGGAAACCTGAAGGAAGTATGGACTTCAGTGAACAGTAATGTATCAATGTCAGTTCATTAGTTGTGACAAATATATCATACTAATCTAAGATGTTGACAATAGAGAAAACTGGGTTGGGAGTATATGGAATTCTGAACTACCTGCAACTTTTCTGTAGATCTAAACTATTCTAAAATAAAATTTTATTTTTAGAAAAGTATATACTGTACGGAGTGTCTCTCACTCTTTTCCCATGCTACCGAGTTCCAGGAGGCCATCCAGGAGGGTCTTGTTTATTGCTTTGCCTTTAATGTAGGCCTTTAAACCCAAATACTTAATTACCTGTCTCTTCTCATAACTCACCACTTTATAAGAAAGTGGGGATGTTCAAGTGCAGCGGTCGCCAACCGGTGGTCCGCGGGGTCCGAAAGGTTGGCGACCGCTGTTCTAGTGGGAAACTGGGTCCCATAGCATCTTAGAAACAATTACAAGTTCATCTATATTCAGAGCTTCTAAGTAACTGCCCGCTTTCTCTTGGAATTTAGTCCAATCTCTGCTCCCTTCAGACATGCCCATCTGCTCCAAAGTCCTTCTAATCCTTGAACATCGAATTCCAACCTCCCTTCCACCAAAACCTCCTGGATTCATCAGAGTAATGCTGGCTCCCTCGTCCTAAGTAACCAGACCCAGTCCTTATCAGGGACCACAGTTCCAGAGTGCCCCTTGTCCGAGAATTCTAAAATACACCTTGCTAGGGCCATTTATGTCTTGATTTTTCTTGATTTCCATCACCCACACCTTCTGCATGTGTATACCCTTCACTATGGCCACCTTGGTGTGTGGCCCGGGCTATCCCATCAGATTCATCATTTTAAACCAAAAGCACATGAAGGTATAAGAACTTCTGCAGGACCCGTAAGCTCAAAAATAGATTTTGCCAAAGCATCCCAAGGATCTGTGGCTAGGTCAAGATCAGCACTCCATTTACTTGAGCAGCTGTTTTATATTTTATATTTCTCTCTAATAGTCTAGGGCCAGGTCTGTCATCATTTGTGTGGTTCACAGAATACATGACATGCATGGATGGAGAGGAGGTAAAGCCAGGGGTGGAGGGAGAGGACCATCCTGGGACACCACTGTGGCAAGCCAGGTGCTTCGCTGGGCACACCAAAGCTTGCACCCTCTCTGCTCAAGCTGGCTGTTTGGAACAGAGGCTGAAAGCTCAGGCCACTGAGGAGCTGCAGAAGCAGGGACAGCCTCAGGCTGAGCTCCTCCTTCCAGCCAGAAGCTCAGAGAAGATCTGGCCAGTGTACTCACAGGAGTGGAGTTTGAAGAGAAGCTTGACAGTGTAATCATAGAGGTGACTGCAGTCCAATATGACCTGGATCAGCGGGGCGAGGCGGCACTGCCCAGCTGTCGTCACGGATACAGAGCGGGACATGTCCAGGGAGTTGAACACTAGAAAATAAAAGAAGGGGGAGAGGCAGTGGAGCTGGGAAACTATAGGTGACTTTCTCAAAGGGCAGAAGGCAGGGGTCTCACATACACTGAGGACCTATTCTGGGCATACACTATTGTATTTAATGCACTTAAACCCTACACCGTTTCTACAAGATAATTAAAAGTACCCTGGTACACAGATGAGGGAACTGACAGTAAGTGACTTGAAAATGGTCCCAAAGCCAAGAACTGATTTTAGAAAAAAACAAACTGGTTTTGCTGAGAGGTGATGAGTTAAAAGATAGCGCCTGTGTGGCCAGCAATGGCCGGACCAAAGCCTGTGCTCCCATAAGCCGAGGCGCTCGTGTCATGAACAGGTGAGCTCTGCTCTTCTGTGCACAGCCCTGTGGAAGCCGGGAAAGAAGGGATTTACCCAGAGCCTGGTGGAGCACCTCGATGAGGGGTATCCCTCCTAGAGGAGCTTCGTGGCCTCTGGCCCAGGCTGATCAGAGAGACTGACACCTCATTTTCCAGTTTCTGATTTAATGGTAATGAGGAGACGGAACGCCTCAGCTCTATGGGACATCAGAATTTCAGGACTGAAGGGGTTGCTGAGATAGCCAATCCAGTCCTTCCTCTCACGCATGAACAGTCTGATGGTAGCCCTGATCCCGAGAAGCAGCCAATCTGGTGGTGGCAATAGTTAGTTAACATGTGGGGAACATATCAAACATGGATCAGAACACGAGGAAGGGAATAAGTCAGCCTTGGGTTCCTGGTGGCTTGCCACAGGGTTGTTGGGGCAGCAAAAGGGGGGATGTGCCAGTGCCTTGAGTGATGACTGGAGAGCCTGCAAGAACCCAGGCCAGGCACTGGGAGGAGGTTGGCCGTCAGGATCAAAGACTGATGAGGTCCTTGGAGCAGGTCAACAGAAGTTCTGCCCTGCATTCTCCCAAGCTCCGGAGAGCAAGTTGCTCCCTCAGTGTCTTGCTCCCAAGACCCCTCCACATTAACCCCCTGCACTTGCTCCTAAACCAAGCAACGAGATGCCTGGTTGTCGACCCTCAGCACAAACCAGTGGCCTGGGCCCATGTCCTGTCTGCAGTGGCTGCCCACCACCTTCAGAACTACACACATGGCTGGCAACGAAAGACCTTCTCTGCAGTCCCTCAGTGAGTGGGGCTGCCCCGGAGGAAAACCCAGAGCTGCTGTGCCTGGCCTGCCCGACTGTACTAATCCCTGTTAACTGGCTTGGTCTGGCAGCTGGGAAAAAACCCCAAACGGTTCTAATTAAAAGGCAGCTTTTCTTGACACAAATTAAAAGCAGCTGTCACTGCAAGGCAGCCATCCCCAATTCTTCTGGCTTGCTTAGGCTCCACTCTGGCAGGGAATTACAGAGTGCTCCACCTCCAGGCCTAACGCTGCTTTCTAGGAATGCCCCTTGGCATCCAGGAACATCTAGACTCGCAATGTGACCGTGGACACATTACTCAACCTCTCGTGCCAACAGATGATTTTCTATAAAATGCAGATGGTTCTAATAGCACATACTTCATAGAGGTCTTGTAAGAATTAAATGAAAATGTTGTGGAAAGTGTGTAGTACTGGGCAGTGGTTCTAAACTTTGGCTTTGAGATTGATTAGAATCATCTGGGAAATTTAAAAACTAATGTCTGCCTGCAACTCCCCCACACCCTCATTCTGTTTTATGGGTCTGGAGTAGGACTGGGCATCAGTAGGTTTCAAAAGCTCCCCAGGTGATTCTACTATGCAGCCAATCAAAAGCTGTATTTTCTAGCTCAGTGGTTCTCAAACTGTAGCAAGCATTAGAATCACCCGGTAACACTGGCCAGTTGAATTCTGTGATGATGGAAGTGTTCCAAATATGCTGTCCAATATGCTAGCCACACGTGGCTACCGAGTGCCTGAGGACCTGACTTTTTAAAAAAAAAATAGTTTTATTGATTTCAGAGAGGAAGGGAGAGGGAGAGAGAGATAGAAACATCAGTGATGAGAGAGAATCATTGATCAGCTGCCTCCTGCACACCCCACACTGGAGATCGAGCCCGAAACCTGGGCATGTGCCCTGACTGGAATCAAACCGTGACCTCCAGGTTCATAGGTCGACCCTCAACCACTGAGCCATGCTGGCCGGGTAGGACCTCACTTTTTAATGTTATTTAATTATAATTAATTTTATTTTTTAAAATATATTTTATTAATTTTTACAGAGAGAAAAGGAGAGGGATAGAGAGCCAGAAACATTGATGAGAGAGAAACATCGATCAGCTGCCTCCTGCACATTTCCTACTGGGTATGTGCCCGCAACCAAGGTACATGCCCTTGACCAGAATCGAACCTGGGACCCTTGAGTCTGCAGGCCGACGCTCTATCCACTGAGCCAAACGGGTTAGGGCTAATTGTAATTAGTCACACGTGGCTAGTGGTTGCCATACTGGACAGTGCAGACCGGGGGCCTTGTTAGGACACTACTTGCTGGGTCTCAGTCCCAGATCCACTGTGTCGGGTGGGACCTGAGCATGTGCTTTTCCAACAAGTTTTTTAGGTGATGCTAACACTGCTGGTCCAGGGATCATAGTTTGAGAACCACTCTAAGTGCTCAAAATAAATGTTAACTGTAACTGGTCCATCTCCCAGAGCTGAAAGCCAGGGGCATCCTCCTGAGGGTACCGTTGGAACCTCACGGAGTCACAGACCAGGACTTAAAAGCTGGAGAACTTCCTCCGACACCACCTTCATGGCTTTTGTGTCACACAGCAGGTGGCCAGGGACAGGGAAGGCAGCAGGGGAGACAGGCAGGAGAGGGCTCTGGATTCCAAATGAGGGCTCTTTCAGGGACGAGAAGGCCACCAACATCCTTGGAAAGGTTGTGCCGACTCGGGTAGCTCTCCTCTAGAAAACTCTAAGTAGCTAATCACCTGATAAGCCCAGAGCATTCAGCCAGATGCTGTCACCATGTTAGGAACTCTGTTCACCTGCTGTTTCTTCACTGCTGCTCATCTAAGGCGAGCATCCTTGAACTTTGCTGTTGAGCGCTTGCTCTAGACCAGGCACTGGGCTAGAACAGAGATGAGTAGGGCACGGTTCCTGATTCTGAGGAGAAGCTCAGCATCTAGTGGTAACAATACAAGTGAACAATGCAGATAAGAGCAGCCAGGTGGCATGGGAGGTGGGCGCAGGCTGGCCACCTGGGGTGCGGCATTTGCCTGCACCACTTACTCATCCTCCCAGCCTCGTCACATCCTGGCGGGAGTTACCACTCCTTCGCTTACTCTAACTCCAACCGTTAGCCAGTGACTGGAAGGGACAGCCCCAAAGGCTGAAACATTTGCCTTGTTTTCCCCACCCACGACTGCAGTGGCGGGCAGACTGAGAAGAAAGAGCTCCTGGAAGAGAGCCTGGGTCAGCTCAGTGGCAACTTCTAGGCTGACTCTTCCAAGGATGACAATCCCTAGAATATCACTCATACCTGCTTTCAATTAAGCACATTCCAAAGCTGAATGTCAATGAATTCTGACTTATCCACCCAGGCCCTTCCTGCCCAGAGCGCAATAACTGAAAGTCAGCCCCAACGATGTGTAGTTGTTTGTATACATTTATGGAAAGATTTCTAATGCATTAAGAAAAATTCGCCTCTACGCCATTTCTCCTACCTTGCTGGGAATGCCTTACAGCAGGGACTGGATTTTGTTTCATTTTTACTCCTCTATTGACTTCTGTGGAAGACTCTGCTCAAACAGGTTGCTAGTAGGCCCAGTGCCTTCTTATTTCTTCCACAAACCATAGTTTCCATCTGTTTCGGGTGTTCCTCTGACCACATCCTGCACTGAACTGATTAGTCAAAGTATCAAGGCGTTTGCTGCCCTGGCACAGCTGGAATTAACCGGCCAGTTGTAATTATTTGCTACATAGATGAACATACTGTAAAAAGCTGCAACTTAGGGTGAGAGAGTTTCTGTCTTTCATGAGAATCAAAGCCCCAGGAGTGGCCTACATGCCCAAACGCTGAGGTCGCCAAGCCTGTGCACACATACTTGTGCTTTCACAGAGCTGGACACTTGTCACAGAACATCTTGAATCTCAGAAAACTGGCTCTTCCATTCCCCAGCGACAGAAGGGGAGAGCCATGCTGGGAAGTGTAGGGGATGAGAGCACACAGGAGACAAGGGAACCAGTTGCTTCCCTCTTCAAGTCTTGTCAGGGAGTGTTAGGGGCTTGACAAGCCTAAGGGCAGTGATGGCGAACCTTTTGAGCTCGGCATGTCAGCATTTTTGAAAAAACCCTAACTTAAACTCTGGTGCCGTGTCACATATAGAAATTTTTTTTGATATTTGCAACCCACAGTAAAACAAAAGATGTATATTTTTTGATATTTTATTTTTATATATTTAAAATGCCCTTTAACAAAGAAAAATCAACCAAAAAAAAAATGAGGTTCGGGGTGTCACCCTCCTGACACGCGTGTCACCATCACTGGCCTAGAGGCACCAGAACTCTCAGCAGGAGGGAGCCCCCAGCGCTCCCCCACCAGGGGATTAGGACTTCTCACGTGGCCTTCGGTAACAACCCAACTCAGCCTGGCTAACGACCAAACAGCAGACAGCAGCCCTTCTGACAGAAATTGAGCCGAGTGCCAGCCTGGCTGAGCAGCAGACAGGGCTGGCCAAGGACCAGCCAATGTTGGGGCCATAGTCCATGGGCTGTCAAAGAGGTCAGACCCGTCTTTGGGCTCTTGGAGGCCTGGACTTCAGGGGTGAAGCCAGTGGGCTGGGGAGTGCGGTCATCCTGCTCAGATCTGAAATCACCGACTGAAAATGCCCCAGAGCTCAGCCCCTCTGTGCACGAGGGACGGAGAGCCCGCGTCTCCATGTTCCTGACCCTGTGCTGTGCAGCCCGTAGGGAGAGGCGGACAAGCCTGGCCGGTCCAAGTCGGGAACAAGGCTGGGAATGAGGCAATTCCCATGGAAGCCCGGGCCAGATGGGAGGGAAGTTCACACTCCAGGTAGTCGAACATCTCCACTGTTAGCTGAAAACTAGACCCAAGAAGAAAGAGAGCTGATGCTCCCAAATCGAGCACTTAACCCGCCCTCCCCGCCCCCTCTCCCCCAACACACACACTCTGTGCTGCTGCTTCCAACCCCAATGTGCATACGCAGGCACGCGCGCACACACTCTCTCTCACACACACACACACACACACACACACACACACACACACACACACCAGCTCCAGTTCTTAGCTCCCACCTAAGTGGGTATTGAGGCCATCTGAAGAACAAGCAGGGTGAATTCAATAGTGACAGTGGCAAAGGGAGAGGGCAGGTACCACACTGGGTTGGGAGGGTGGAGGGGACCAGAGGATAGAGCTGAAGTGTGAGACAACCTGGAAGGTTCTGGATAAGGCATCAGCAGTAAGTGGCCCCAAGGCCTTCAGTCCCCACCCCAGCCCCAGCCTCTACCATCTGGGCCTCTGGGAAGTGAGAGATTCCCCAAAAGCTCTCTTCCCCACTGGGTCCAGAGCACGAGGACAGCCACTTACAAGTTGTTAACATCACTCTCTCCAGCCTCGTCCAGCTGCCGGTCGCTCATCTGAAGGTTGCCTGGGAACCTGGGATTCTGGAAGGGAAACAGAGAAAGGAAGTCAGAACATGACACCTCAGAAGCTCTCTACATAGCCTTAGCCGGTGTTTCTCGGTGGTTAGAGTGTTGGCCTGCACACTGAAGGGTCACGAGTTTGATTCCTGACCCAGTTAAGGTGCTTGCAACCAATCAATGTATCTCTCTCACATCAATGTCTATCTGTCTGTCTCTATCTCTCTTCCCACTCCCTTCCGTCCTCCCTTCCACTCTCTCTAAAAAATAAAAATCAATGGAAAAAATATCCTCCAGTGAGGATTAACAATAAAATAAAATAAAATGCCCTTCCACCTTATTCTCTTGGGACACTTCACCAGGCTGTGAGGAAGTCCTGACTAGCTCTGAGCCTCCAGGAAGAGAGAGCTGGCAGGCCAGCCCCCCACTGTTGCAGTCCAGCCAGCATCTGACTGCAACTACATGAGACCTGTGGCTAGAACTGCCCCACCAGGCTCTTCCAGATCTCCTGACCAACAGAAAGTGGGAGACAGGAAAGGACTGTTGTTGGTGCAAGACACTAATTGGGGTGTTGTGTTGTGCAGCACAGACAACTGTAACACCCTACGACTGAGCTCAGGTGTCACACTGCCTCTGAGAAGCTACCTGGGTCAATCTAAACCAAATAGCCTCTGTGCTTTTGTACCACCTCCTGCTTCTCTCAGTTCTCATCCTGACTGCAGTCTACTAGTATCTTCTCTCCCTCTATCACTTCTCTCCCAACCAAACTACGACTCCCAGAAGCAGGGCCAAAGTCTATTCACCTTTCTCTCTTCAGAGCCTACTAGCTCTGGCCCTTGGCAGGCACTCAATGAGACCTGAGGGGAGGTAAGGGTGGCCACTGACCCGCACAGGCTGTAGTGTCATATGGGCCTGGGTTCAAATCTCCACCTCCCTGCTAAGAAGCTACGTGACTCAGGCAAGGGACTCAACCACTCTGAGTTTCATTTTCCTAGGATGTAATAATAGCTACTTTGTAGGGTTGTTGTGAGGATTAGGTGATGTACAGAAAAGGTTTAATAGACTAGGATGGATTCAATGAATCAAAGCTATCCTTTAAGTTAATAAAAGATAATGGAGATAAAAGACACTAAAGGTGTTATTTTTTCTTAACGGTCCTTCCTTCTCCATTTGTATTGCCAGCTCCCTAATTCAGGTGGTTTCTCTCCCGCCTGGCATGCCATCCCACCACCCAATGCACCACACCCACCCGTCAAGGTCCACACCAAGCCCCCTTCCTTCATGGTGCCCTTTCAAACACCGTAACCCTCAGGCATTTCAAAACATCTCTGCATTTTTCCCCGGGCACAGACACATGTAGCTGCTTCGCACTGTACACGGGTGCTTACGTACATAAGCCTCCCCCCAGCGAGTCTGCAAATGCCGAAGAGCACTCTTTTTACTTATTCTTACCTGCCACTTGGTGCCAAGCACACAGTTTTACATGCATTAGGTACATAGGAAATACTGACTAAAGTTATAGAAGGTTCTGTGTGAAAACTCGCTACATAAATGGAAGGAATGATTTTTATTAACAGTGAAGTCAGTGCTTCTAAAATATTTTCATAAGGCAACCTACTGGATAGGGTTCCTCCTCCTATTTCCAAAATGGTGCAGAAGACACGGGCCATATCCCAGGGCCTGACCATGGCTGTCCTATAAAATGTTTCCTCTCACACAGCTGGGAGGTGGTATAAATACTCCCTGAGCCAGGCTGTCTTATTACTGGGAATTAATAAGGTCATCGAGGTGCTGAGGAGACAGGGGGAGGGGAAAGAGAGCAGAATTGTCAGCAAAGACTCACTTTGGTGTGGTATTCCATCTTCGTTCTGAGCAGTTTGAGGTAGATGCTGCAAAGCTGTCCATACCCCTCACTCAGGTGGCCCTTTCAGGAAGAGGAGAGACAGTAGGGTGTTAACACTAAGAACAGATGAGTTGAAGACCTACAGCCAGGACTTCATTTTTAAAAATATATATTTTTTCTGATTATGAAAATAACAAATGTCCATTGTTAACAATTTGGAAAATATAGGGAAGTACATATGTGAACATCAGATATAATCATGGCTAACGCCTTGGGGTACAAAATGTTACTTATTTTCTTTTTTCCAATTCAAATAGACTTTATTTTCAAAGTAGTTTTAGCTTCACAGCAAATTAAACAGAATGTATAGAGATTTCCTATATACCCCTTGCACACACACAACCTCCCCAATTGTCAACATCCCACACCAGAGTGGGACATTTGTTACAATTGATGAACTTATATTAACACATCATTATTATCAAAAATAAATTTGGCATTAGGGTTCACTCTTTTTTCCCCTTTCTTTATTGATTAAGGTATTACATATGTGTCCTTATCCCCCCACCCCCCCCTCCCACTCCCCTGCTCATGCCCTCACCCCCCTGGTGTCTGTGTCCATTGGTTAGGCCTATATGCATGCATACAAGTCCTTTGGTTGATCTCTCCCCCTTACCCCCTCCCTCCCCTACCTTTCCTCTTAGGGTTGACGCTCTGATTGATGCTTCTCTGTCTCTGGATCTGTTTTTGTTCATCAGTTTGTTGTTCATTACATTCCACAAATGAGTGAGATCATGTGATATTTATCTTTCTCTGACTGACTTATTTTGCTTAGCATAATGCTCTCCAGGTCCATCCATGCTATTGCAAATGGTAGGAGTTCCTTCCTTTTTTATAGCAGTGTAGTATTCCATTGTTTTTTAATCCATTTGTCTGCTGATGGGCACTTAGGCTGTTTCCAAATCTTAGCTACTGTAAATTGTGCTGCTATGAACATAGGGGTGCACATATCCTTTCTGATTGGTGTTTCTAGTTTCTTGGGATATATTCCTAGAAGTGGGATCACTGGGTCAAATGGGAGTTCCATTTTTAGTTTTTTTGTTTTTTTTTTCAAATATATTTCTTTATTGGTTTCAGAGAGGAAGGGAGAAGGAGAGAGATAGATAGAAACATCAATGATGAGAGAGAATCATTGATTGGTTGCCTCCTGCACGCACCCCACTGGAGATTGAGCCTGCAACCCAGGCATGTACCCTTGGCCAGAATCGAACCTGGGACCCTTCAGTCCGCAGGCTGACGCTCTATCCACTGAGCCAAGCCAGCTAGGGCCATTTTTAGTTTTTTGAGGCAACTCCATAGGGTTCACTCTTGATATTGTACATCCTATAGGTTTTGGCAAATGTATAATGACATGTATTACCATTATAATATCATACAGAGAAGTTTTACAGCCCTAAAAATCCTCTGTGCTCCACCTTTATTTTAAAATATAAAACGGAATCAATTTGCCTTTTTAATATACTGCAATTTTTTTCTATTTTCTTAAATTTTTTTCTGTAACATTATTTTTAGTGACTGCCCAGTACATTATAAGTATGTACTATATAATTTATCAAACCAACTCTCTACTGTTAATTCTTAGAGTATAATCTTGTGTACAAACATGAGGACTTTTCTGGATAAATTCTGTACAAGGGCTTCTTATTTAAGAATTTTAAGTCTCCTAGTCTTAATAATCACAGTCTGGCTATGGGCTATTTCTTTCCTTCTGTCTCTCTAAGCACAGGAGAGGAAACACCTCCTCCAGAGGGACTCTAACGGATTAAGGTCATCTACAGTATTAGACATGGGGTGGGATTTTAAATGAAACCAATCCTAGCAGGTGAAGAACAAGCATTCCCAGAGAGTCTGCCCACGCAGTCATGTCCTGCGTGCTTGGGAGGAAGCTAGGATTAGCAGAGTAATGCTGGGAACTCCTAGTTATATACAAAATGTCCCCACATCCACAAAGAACCCTTCAACTGAGTAGCTGTGGCTTTCACATGAGTTTTGACTTTTGTTTTCTTTTAATTGCATCTATATCCTCTAGAGTAGAGAAACCCTGTTGAAACAGGCCTTAAAGAGCACCAAGGGGAACTGAATAATCAGAGGTTAAAAATGCAAATTCTACAGATGAGTGTTTCATAATTTTCTATGAAAATTAACCTGATTAATTTTTACATTATACTTATTATAGGAAAATACTGAAAAGAAGCAAAAGTATTCTCACCACCAAAGACAACTATCCTTCACATGAAAATGCACAGGATCAAAAAGTAAAAGATGAATGAATGGATCACAGACTCAGTGTAAAACACAAAACTATAAAAATCCTAAAAGGGCCCTAACCATTTGGCTCAGTGGATAGAGCACCGGCCTGCAGACTAAAGGGTCCCAGGTTCGATTCCGGTCAAGGGCATGTACCTTGGTTGCGGGCAAGTCCCCAGTGGGGAGTGTGCAGGAGGCAGCTGATCAATGCTTCTCTCTCATCGATGTTTCCAACTCTCTATCCCTCTTCCTTCCTCTCTGTAAAAAATCACTAAAATATATTTTTTAAAAAATCCTAAAAGATAACACAAGAGAAAAACCTAGTGACCTTGAGTATGGTGATGACATCTTAGACACAACACCAAAGATACCATCTGTTAAAAAATTAATTTATACGCTGGATTTCATTAAAATTAAAAACTTTTGCTCTACAAAGGACAACATCAAGGGAATGAACAGATAAGCCACAGACTGGAGAGAAATATTTGCAAAAGACACACCTGATAAAGAACTACTGTCCAAAATATACAAAAAAAAAAAAAAAAAACCCACACACAAAAAACCCCTCTTAAACCTCAGTAAGAAAACAAACAAACCAATTTAAAAATGGGCAAAAAAAAAAAAATACAGATGGCAAATAAGCATACAAAAAGATGCTCCACATCACGTCACCAGGGAAATGCAATTTAAAACGAGATACCACTACACACCTGTTAGAATGGCCAAAATCCAGAACATTGGCAACACCAGATGCTGGTAAGGATGTGGAGCAATAGGAACCCTCCTGCATTGCTGGTGGGATGCAAAATGGTACAGCCACTTTGGAAGACAGTTTGGCAGTTTCTAACAGAACTAAGCATACTCTTACCATATGACTCAGTAGTGGTGCTCCTTGGTTTTTACTCAAAGGAGCTGAAAACTTATTTCCACTCAAAACCTACCTATGGGTGGTTATAGCAGTTTTATTAAAAATTGGCCCAAATTGGAAGCAACCAAGAAGTCCTTCAGTAGATGAATGGATCAATCAATTGTCATGTATCCTGACAATGGAATATTATTAAGGGTTAAAAAGAAATGAACTATCATGCCATGAAAAGACATGGAAGAAACTTAAATCTATATTGTCAAGTGAAAAAAGCCAATCTGAAAAGGCTACATACTATATGATTCCAACTGTATGACATTCGAGAAAAAGCACCGAGACAATAAAAAGATCAGTGGTTGCCAGGGGTTGTGGGCGGGGGACAGGGAGGGATGAATAGGTGGACTATAGATTTTTAAGTCAGTGAAAATATTCTGTATGATACCACAATGATGGATATATGTCATTACACATTTGTCCAAGCCCAAAGAATATACAACACCACGAGTGAACTATAATGTAAACTATGAGCTTTGGGTGATTATGATGTGTCAATGTAGGTTCTCTGATTGTAATCAATGCACCACTCTGGAGGGGATTTTGATATAGGAGAGGCTATGTGTGCTGGGGGTGGCAAGGCGTATATGGGAAGTCTTTGTATTTTCTTGTCAAATTTGCTGTGAACCTAAAACTGCTGTAAAAAAAAAGTCTTAATTAAAAAAAAAAGTAAAAGAGGTTTCTAATTTCAGAAACTCTTAGGCAAATGAGAGAAATAGACTACATAGGGAAAAAGACCTAAAGGAATTCTATTTTGGATAACAAGGCAGGCAGCTACCTGGGTTGACCTTCCCACTGAAACCTGACAATACTGGGAAGATATTTAAAATTTTTTGAAGGTATTAATGGATTAACAAGAGTAAGGAATCCATAGGCCAGGGACTGAGTAAACACAGATTCTTAGAGAGTAAATGGATTACTGGGTTAATAGAGTTGGGGGGAGAGGGGACTTTGCCAGAGCAGGTGAACTTGAGCTTTGATTTCCTTGGCCTCAAGGGCCAGGTGGTAAACAGAAGGCAGGGCTCTGCCCAAGTTGAAGAGTCTACTGAAGAGCCAAAAGGCTGCCTCCTTTGTTCAGGGGAACTAAGGGTAAATCGGTAACCACACATTTCCATGCTCCTGCACTGAAGGAGTCCTCCATGTGGACTACAAAGAAATTCGGCCACCTCACACCACTGTTGTGATCAGAAGGAGGAAAAACTGCTGCTGAGAACTGGACTCATGAGCTAATACTCAAGAGGCTCTGCCTAGAAGTCACAAAACCTTGAGAACTTAAGAGTGGTCAACAGAAGCAAATGCCAATTCTCTCTAGAGGAACCTACAGACTCCAAAGACTTCCCACAAAGAAAATTCTAAGGAAAATGAGAAGCTCACAGTAAGAAATAACTAAACACAGAAAGAAACTACATACTATGAGCAAAATTCACAAAAAAAACAGATCTCTTAAGGGCTTTAGATAATGGAAATATTAAAAATGATTTATGAAATCACTATGTCTAATATGTCTAAATAAATAAGAGACTGTTTCAAAATATATGCAGGGCCAATCAGATTAAAGCCGGCTGAAGAGGGAACAAGTAAACTGAAAGCCAGATTTAATGAAATTATCCAGAATGAAGTGTAGAGGCAAAGAGGTAGAAATAGTGGCTTAAATTAAATAGTGGTTTAAAGTGAGATGGGGGATAAAGTGAGAAAGTCTAACATACTCTAACCAAAGTCTCAAGGAAAAGACTGAATGTATAGCAAAGGCAATATTTGAAGAGACAATGAGAATTTTTCATACCTGATGAAAGATACTAACCAACAGCTTAAAAAGTCCAAAGAACCACACATGGACATGTACTAATATCTTTAAAATGGCCGGATAAAAAAAGACAGATTAGCTTCAAAAAGACAACAATGAGTCTGACAGCAGACTTCATGGAAATGATGAAAGCCAGAAGTCAGTGGAAGGATATCCTGAATAATATCTTCCATGTGATGATATAAAATAACTGCCATACAAAAATTCTAAACCCAGAGAAAGTATGTTCCATGAATGAGGGTGAAATAAAGACATTCTCAAACAAGTAAAAATGGTTGTTGGCCAAAAGCAAACTTTTACTAAAGGAAGTTCTAAAGGAAATAATTTAGACAGAAAGAAAGTGATCTCAGATAAAAGATAAGATGTAAGAAGAAATTAGGAACACAGAATAAAATACCTGATAGGGTTTAAAAAGAAACAAATAACTAAGATTAAAATATATGACAATAACATACAAGTTGAGGTGTGAATGGAGTTAAAATATTCTGAGGTCATTGTATTATACAGGAAACAGATAAAGATATGAATTTTAGACCTTGATAAAGTAAACATGTATTTTATAACTATTAGATAACATACCAAAAAACAACACATAAAAACAGATTTTTTTTAATCTCCCAACTAGCAATTAGAGAAAAATGGAATGAGAAAAAATAATCAATCCAACTGAAGACAAGGTGGGAGAAATAGAAACAGGCCAGATGGAACAAACGGCACAGAATAAGGCTGAAATATAAATCTAAACATATCACGCATTATAATAAATGTAAATGGAGCAACTGCACATTTAAGAGACAAAGACTGCCATCTTTAATAAATCAACAACGAAATCCAACTAATTGCTATTTCCAAGGGATATTTTTAAAACGTAAAAATGTGGAAAAGTCGAAAGTAAAAGGATAGAAAAGGGCATACCAGGCAATTTCTAACAAAAAGGAAAAAGGCCAAAGCCCTACGTGTTTAGGGATACAACCCAAAGCTCTCCAGCATCCAGCTGGGAGTTTGGAGGACAACTCTCAGCTTTGTTCAGTTGAACTAGCCTATGACTAGGAAAAGCAGCTTTCTTGTCTGGGCCTGTAGTTATTCATCTGTAATGGGGAGACTGGACTACACAATCGCTAACATTTTGTGAGTGCGGACAGATACAGGTAAGAATTTAAAGGCGAGAGCTAAAGTAGTGGTTCTCAACCAGTGGAGGCAAAGGAACACATCAGGACCAACCTGGGAGATTCTTCAAAATGCAGATTACCCCCTATCCATACATAGACTCTTTGGATATAAGAATCTATTAAAAAAATCAATAAAGAAATATATTTTTTTTAAAAAGAATCTAGTGGAATTCTGATGCGTGCATAAAAACACTCTTTTCAATTGATTCTGATATTGTCAGCTACCTCCTCCCTCTTCCTGAGAATTCCTAGGCAGAAAAGAAAAGGCACTGGCATTGCCCTAGCTGGTTTGGCTCAGTGGATTGAGTGTCAGCCTGCGGATCCAAAGGTCCCAGGTTCGATTCCGGTCAAGGGCACATGCCTGGGTTGCAGGCTCGGTCCAACGTGCAGGAGGCAGCCAATAAATGATTCCCTCTGATCATTGATGTTTCTATCTCTCTCTTCCTCTCCCTTCCTCTCTGAAATAAATAAAAATATATTTAAAAAAAAGAAAAGGCACTGGCATTAAGAAGTGGGAATGCTAGTCCTCAATGTATTGTGACCCCAACAGAACCAGTAAAACAAAGAGGTGGGAACTGTGGCAATGTCACTGCTGGGGGATCCCAATGCCTGGGGAATGTTGTGACATAAGGTTCCATTGGCAGAAGAAGTTTCCAGAAATCCCAGGTAAGACTGTGGGTATCATGGTACTATTTGGGGATACCCTTGACCCCTCGCTGATGCACATGAGAAATCTTAAAATAAGTTGAAAGAGATGAGTTTGTCCAATTCCACAGTCCTTGTTCTGTGGTCTCTGGGGAAGGATAATGAGGCACAAGTAGTCCTTGTGCAAATCTCCAAACTCACCCACATCCTGCTCATGTCACTCAGTTCGTTTTTGTATCTCAGAGAGTCCTTCAGGACCTGGGGAGGAGAGAGAACAGCCTATGAGAAGAGAGGAGACAACTGATGGTGAAAGATGGTTCTCGGGGATGGAGAGGCTGATCAGAGAGAGACAACCCCCCTCAGGTCGGTAAGCAAAAGGCCAGAAGGGGCAGGTGCCACCCTCAACGCAGGAGCGGACAGCGGCCCAGGCAATCACCCTTTCCCCACACAGCTCCCTGGCCCTCTGGCCCATCCCTGGCAGCCCCAGGAACTCACGTTTGGGTGTCCATCTCGGAGGAGTTTGTGGAACACGTGGCAGAACTTCCAGCAGAGCACAGCGTTGCTGGAGAGGGGCAGCCGGTTGACGACAGACCAAAAGGTCTGTGCCCCTTTCTCATGGTGGGTACCCAGGATGCACGGTGAGGAGGGTCATGGAAAACGAAGCACAGGCCCTGCCTCAGGCAGCCAGCCCATCTTTGGGGTCGAGCCCGCAACAGGCTACTGCAGGGGGTGGGGCAGTTGTTTAGGGCACAGTGGCACTACCTGGGAGGGGACACCCCTTATAACAAACACACCAAAGTCCTGTACAATTTTTTGACGGATGCCAATAAAGTGTCCCGTTCTCATAAAATCCACTTTATTAGACAATTTCCCCAGAGATGGCAATGTCTTTTGGGAGGGGTCTTTTCTAATTTGCATCAGTGCTCTCTGGGCCAGCAGTGGTTCCGGTTTGCCTTTAGCGGGAAGATAATTTGGTTGGCTCCTCCTCCGGCAGCACCTGACTCCTCTCTATCGGGTACCCTGCTCTTGCCCTGAAAGCAGAAGTGTTTGTTCAAATGTCTTTTCTCTAAACTTAAAATGACTCTGACACCCCAACTCTTCTATAAACATTCCTGGCCTGTTCAGGGGTGCCTCCATCTCTTAACACCTTCAACTCCCTGTATGTCAAATCCTAGGGCCACTTCCTCCCAAGATCCAATTCCCACCAGTACCCACTACCCAGGGACCACCTGCCGTGCACGGTATGAGTGTCATAAATGTTCCTCTGGGTTCACATGCTCTTAAGTTAGCACTCCAGACTCTGCAAGTAGTGAGCCCTTTTTGGGGTGAGTAAAGGATGCCCACATTTCTTTTGTGATTGTCTACTTAAACAGGCCACACACATCCAATAAAGGGGCACCATCAACCTCAAGTACAGCTCTTCCCTCAGAATTTCAAGCTCTTTATCAAGGCTCAGGTAAGAGGCACGGTGCCATTCAGGACAGAAAGACTTGCCTCAGGTCACAAACTATATGATTCACCCAGACACATGTTGTTTTGCTTCTGAGTTAGAAGGGATCATAAAGTTCCTTCCCTAAATGGAAACCTGCATTTTGAGGGGGCGGGGGCTTGAACATAGAACTTTTGGGTCCGGAAGCTGAAATCAGCTATTGGTCTTGGAGTGATTTCTGAAATCACTTATACTTTCACCTAAAACACAGCCCCTTGGGCTACAAGGGAGTAAGAAGAGAGATGGGCAGCACCCTCTCTCTCCTGTGATAACCTCTCACACTGACTGTGAGCAGTTTACCTGAGAACAGTTTGCCGAGACAGAAGCAGGAGTGGAGCTAGCGGGACACTCTTACTTTGAAAGAAGCAAGACCTTTCTGTCCTTCTTTGACTTTATAAGCATTTTAATGTGTGACCCATTACGTGTCAGGAACTGTAAAAGGCACTCCGGGATATAAAGAAAAATAAGAATCAGTCCCCAGGCCTCCAAAAGTGGATGCCATGGTGGTGGTGGGAAGGGGAGTAACCTCTTTGCCAGTTAAGCACCTGGATAAACAGACGTCTGAGCAGCATTTCTGAAGCCAGAAGCATCAGGGTGGCTGCTGCTCTTTATTTATCCACCACTTAGACACTGAGAGTCAGAGAGATGCACAGAATATTAGAGCTGGAACACGACACCTTTGAAATCTTCTTCAACCAACTCTTTCATGACAGATAAGGGAACGAAGGGCCATGGAGGCCCCACAGGGTCCAGAGCAAGCCAGAGGCGGGATCCTGGACCCTTCCTCCAGCTTCACCCCAGGTGACCTCCCTGGAGGGGTGTGGCATGGCCCCGCCGCTGCAGGCCTGGTCCTCTCTGTGCCAATCCCCCATCCAGAGGAGCACACTGGCCTACAACAACTGTCTCTGTTTTACTTCAAATCTTGCACCAGACTGATCACAAACCCTTAGCCAGTAGGAGTCAGGACTAGGTCATTCTGAGAAAATCAATTGGGCTTTTCTTGGTTTGGTTTTCTTGACTCAGTAAAGCAAGGGGATATGCCCTTCTGGGGATAAAAGAACAAGATCTGGCTGGCTCACGGTCAGGCAGGCTCCTGGGGGGGCCAGGGAGGGGGTTCTACAGCCCCCACCACAGAGCAAAGCCCTAACTCCAACCAAAGTATCTTCCTGCTAAAGAGCAGTACATGCTGTTAGCAACAGTTCCTGGGTGCCTGCCAGCTTTGGCATCTAACCTAGAGTCTCCCCCAGGGGCTGAGGTGCAGCCACCATGACGAGCCCAGGCAAAGAGGAGCTGCCATCCCAGACAGAAGCCGAGCCTGCACTCGCTCTGCCTAGTGCCCTGCTCTGCCCCTGGCACACAAACAGAGGCTCAGCCCCACTGGCAGCCCCTTCTTTGGTCTTTGAGGACTCAGCCCTTCAGCTCCTGGATTCTATACCTCAGGGGCAGGTCCCCAGAGTGCTGCCTGCACTTCTCCCCAAAGCCACCGACCCATGATGGTGGTCACCCAGGGCCTCTGCTAAGTCGGCGTGGTGAAACCTTTAAGTCACTGGTTCCCTCCACCACCTTGAGGTCCCTGTCTTTTCCCTTCTGGCTTAGGGTGAACACCTGCATTGGCGTAAGGCCAACCACTGTAGCTGGGACCGCTGTTTTGCTGTTGAGGTCAGAAAAGGGGAGATGATCATGTCCCCAAGGGGGTGGTCAGTGTGGCCCTGCAAGCAAAGGGCAGGGCCTGGAGCGCTTTGATGGCACAGGTGAAAATCCCTCTGGTGCCTGAGGAAGAAAGTAACTTCAAAGGACTTGGCAGTTCTGGGAAGCTGGAGTCCCGGGAGGGGAGTGGGATCTTGGTAAGCCTGAAGGACTGGCCTAGATGCCACTTTGGTGCCTTCCACCCTGATGAGCCTTGGTCTCTGGGGCCAGCTGCAGCTCACCCACGCTGCTCAAACCCTGCAGGGACCTGGCCTGTGTGGGGGTTCCCTTTCCCACAGCTGAGCAAGGACTCCTCACCCTGACCTCAGTACCCATAATTCAACCCCTCTCAGGGTCGGTCTTCCAAGCAACATCCAAAAGGATATTTCTGGCGTGTTTTTCCTTTACAGCCACTTCCTGCGTATTAATGGCCTTATTGATGCTGACAGTCTGAAAAACAAGAGGGAGGGGAAGGAGAGGGGAGGATGAGATGAATAAGCTTCTGAGAGTGGCTGAGACCCTCCCAGGGGCCACCCCTTTCTCTCCCTCCAATGACTCTTCTCTCCTTTCTGCAGACCCTTCTGCCCCACTGTCCCAGTGCAGGGCCCCTAGCGGGGGTGAGGGGGGCGGAGGGCAGAGGTGGGCAGTGCTCCCAGGCCAGCTGGCCCAGGCTGTCCTAAGGCAGCGGGCTTTGCTGCCTGGCATTGGCTGTGCCCAGCTGCTGCGCCTGCCTGCCACTCATTCACTTGGCACAACAGCATGGCAATTAAAGCCTGCACAAAGGGATGCTTTTTCATCCCCCAGGGAAACATTATTTCTCTGGGAGCAGGAGGAAGAGGCACTGAGATCAGGGAGCGACTGTGGCTCAAAAGCCTCCACCCGCCCCTCTCTCACCGCTAGAACCTTCCCCAAGAGCCTTCCCTTGCTGGCCCAGGTCACTCTCGTCTCTTGTTTTTCCACTCTTGGGTAATTTCCAGCTTGTAACCAAATTCCCTTTTATCTCCTCACATCAAAAGGCATTAAAATATGTAGACCTTTCCAGTTATTTTAAAAACCATAACTCTTAATTTAGCAAAGCACATATACATGTGAATATAACTTAAGAAACACATACAATCATATCGCGTAGGCTGTTTTTAAGATAGATTTTTCCTTTTTCTGTTCTGCTTTGCTTCCCTTCCACAGATGTCATTCTACCCCAACCCATGTTCACAACCTGTTATGCATATCACACATTCTACCCCAACCCATGTTCACAACCTGTTATGCATATCACACACACACACACACACACACATTCATGCCTACGTACCGGAAGAGGTTAATTTTGTCCCTGCTCTACAAAAATCAGACTGTCACATTCAGATTTTCCTACATTTTGCTTTTCTCTCTTTAAAAAGACAACATCATAGTCCATGGTGTGGGTGGATGTGATTTATACAAGCATTCCCATGTTGGAAGGCAATTTCGGTGGATGTGATTTATACAAGCATTCCCATGTTGGAAGGCAATTTCTTTCCAGTTTTTTTTTGTTTTTACACTATAAACCATTGTAGTAAACATTCTTCCACACATATCCTTATTAATTGATGCTTTTATTTCCAAGGGTCAGACTTCTAGGAATGAGATTACTACGTGTTTGTTTTTTTTTTTTTTAGTTTTTAAAAAGCTTTGCATTATGGAAAAGTCCGAACACAGAAAAGTATGCAGACTAGTCTAAGAAGCCCTCACATCACCAGTCCCCAGAATCAACTATTGCAAACTTTTAGCCAAACATGTTTCTTTATGGATGAGGGATGGCAAAGACTTTCTGTAAAGAGCCAGTTAGTATGTAAATATTTTAGGCTTTGCAGGCCACATGGTCTCCATTGCAGCTGTTCAACTCTGCTGCTGCAGCGCAAAAGCAGCCACAGTGATACTAAAAAAACTAAATGAGTGTGGCTGCATTTCAATAAAACTTTATTTAAAAGCCAGGTGGTGGTCTGGATTTGGCTGTGCTGTAGTGTGTTGATCCTGGCTTTATACTATCCCCTTGCTCCCTGGATTATCTGAAGTAAACTCCCAGGAGTTATATCATTTTAACAGTAAATATTCAGTATGACCCTTTAAGGGAAAAAAAGGACTCTAAAAAATAACGATAACACTATGATCATGCCTAAATCCTTAATATTATCAAATGGTTAGGCGTTGCTCACATTTCCCTACTGTATCAAAACAAAAAAGCTTTCTTGCAGTCATTCTAATCAGGATCCAAATAAGGTTGCCACCTTGCTTTCTAAAAAGGCTCTAACAATCCGCCTTCCCACTGAACATGTACAAAAGCATCCCCAACAACAACAGGGGTTAAGGCTTCTTGTCATTTTGTTAGTCTGATGAGTGTAGTGACATTCCATCTCTACTTTTAATTTCTATTTCCTGGACTTATATGTCATGATTGTTGATTGCCTTACATAGTTAGGTATGTTCACCTTATCTTTTATAAGTTCTCTATTTATTTAAGGCTTTTTCTACCCGGGGTAGACTCTTACATTTTCTTCTAAGTGTTTTATTGTTTGTTTTTTCACATTTGAGTCTTTATCTAAAAAAAAAAAAAAATTACATACATACATATATACAGGTACATATATGTGTATATATGGTATAAAATAGGTTATTTCTAGGCTTTACCAAGATACGTTCTTTTATATCTGGTTTATATAATGTTTGGATGTGTTAAGTCCACTATTCCACATGTCTTTTCTCCCTACCAGACTCATCTCTTTAACGGCATAAGCTCTGTTGTGGGTTTAACTGTGTATCCCCCCCCTTCCCGCCCCCCCCCCCCCCGCCAGAAAAGATATGTTCAAGTCCAAATCCCCCAATACCTATGAACATGATCTCATTTGGAAATATGGTCTTTGCAGATGTAATTAGTTAAGATGAGGTCAATACTGTGTTAGGGTGGGCCCGAAATCCAATATGACCAGTGTCCTCATAGGCAGGGCATGTGAATATAAAATCATATTGAATATAAACTGTAACTGGAAAATAAAGTAATGATTTTTAACAGGCTATGTGAAGACACAGGGACATGGAGACACACAGGGAGAAGACCATGCGAAGCTGGAGGCACCGACTGGAGTGCTGAGTTTATAGGCCAAGGAACACCAGGGGTGACCGCAGTCACCAGAAGCCAGGAAAGAAAGGCACGGAATGAGTCTTCCCTGGAGCCTTCAGAGGGGCATGGCCTTGCTGACACCTTGATTTTGAACTTGTAGCCACCAGAACTGTGAGAGAATACATTTTTGTTTGTTTTAAACCACCCTATTCGTGGTCACCTGTTACGGCAGCCCAGGAGACTAACGCAAGGTCCCTTCCCCATCACACTGGGTCCTCCTGAGGACAGGGGGAGTGCAGGTGCTTCCTGCCCTCTTCCCTACTGCACATGACACGGGGCTCTACTGAGAAGGAATCTCATGTGAGATGTTGCAAGAGAGAAGGAAAAGCTTATTCCCCAAATACCTCCCAGTGAAGCAGTTTGTGAGGCGGAGTGCTTCCAGCTTCCTCTTAACAATCCTTACTTAGACCTTTCTCAGCTTCTGCTTCCAGGACCAACCCAGGCCATTCACTTCCCTTCAGATTTCCTTGGGTGATTTACAGAGGTTTAAACTATGTTCCTCCCCTGGCCCAGGACAAGGAGGGGGTCCTGGCTGCAGACAGAGCTCTAGGCAAAGTCACCACCTTTGTTGAGCGCTTAAAGGTTGCCTGCATTCCATAAAAAATTATAAGAGCCATAACCATGTAAAATGACAACAAGAGACCCAAATCCAGTGAGGTGCTGAACTGGACGTGGTCAAGTCCTAGGTGGCTGGTAGAGTCAGTAGTACAGGCTGAGAGAAAGAAGAGCAAACCCATGCTGGTGGGAAAAGCTAGAAACCACGTCAGGGCCTCGAGGGAGGACCTGTGACGGGTGGGATTTAGACTTATTCCACAAATATTCCTCAGCCTGGCCTGCGCCCTCTCACAGTCCAGGAGCCCTCGGGAGATGTCTGACTGACGGCTTAGCGCTGCTGCGGAGGTGGGAGAGGCTCCTGCCACCACCGCTGTGCTCACCAGCCATGAGCCCGGCTTCTGGCTGAGCAGCGCTCCCCTATGAGTGCACTGACCACCAGGGGGCAGCTCTTGTGTTGAGCATCTGCCCCCTGGTGGTCAGTGCACGTCATAGGGACCAGTAGTTTCGCCATTGGGCTGAAACCGGCGACATCCCCTGAGGGGTCCCAGATTGTGAGAGGGCATAGGGCAGGCCGAGGGACCCCACCGGTGCATGATCGGGGCCGGTGAGGGACACGGGAGGTTGGCCAGCCGTGGAGGGACCACAGGAGGGCTCCAGGGCATGTCCGGCTCGTCTTGCTCAGTCCCGATCAGCTGGACCCCAGGAGCAAGTTAACCTACTGGTCAGAGCATCTGCCCCCTGGTAATCAGTGCATGTCATAGCAACTGGTCAACTGTCCTCCCCCTGGTGGTCAGTGCACATCATAGCAAGCAGTTGAGTGGCCTTAGCATATCATTAGCATATTACACTTTGATTGGTTGAATGGATGACCGAACACTTAGCATATTAGGCTTTTATAATATAGGACTAGAGGCCCAGTACACAAAAATTTGTGCATTGGGGGGGGGAGGGGTCCCTCAGCCCAGCCTATGCCCTCTTGCAGTCTTGGATCCCTTGGAGGATGTCCACCTGCTGGCTTAGACCCGCTCCCTGGGGGATCAGGCCCAAGTTGGCAGTCAGACATCCCTCTGGCAGCCCGGCAGCCCTCAGAGGATGTCCACTTGCCAGCGGGGAGCAGGCCTAAGCTGCAGTCAGACATCCTTAGCGCTGCTGAGGAGGCGGGAGAGGCTCCCGCCACCACTGCTGTACTGGCAGCCATCAGCCTGGCTTGTGGCTGAGCAGAACTCCCCCTGTGGGAGCGCACTGACCACCAGG